ATATATTATGTACATATTATGTACATAGAATTATCCATATGCGAGTAAATTGATCTTCATTTTCTCGTCATTATCGGCGGAGAAAATCCACGATTTCTGTACTCTTGTCGATTATATAACTCATAGCTACACAGGGCAAATATCTTATCGTAGCTGTTTTTGTTCAATGAACGAACGTTATTATTAAAGTGTAGAGTTGGCACACTAATGGGCTGATATACTGGATTAGTGTGATATTTATTATCGCCAATTTTCTCGAATTACTGAAATGTAATTTAGAAATTTATTTCGGCATAATGAGTACATGCACAAATCGGTTTGCTTTAATCTTTGTAAAGTAGAGAGGGTCTGATTGTACACTGTACAGCATATAGCCTTCGTAGCTGTCCTCTTTGCACATATGTTGTGTTATGCTCGTACACATATGCCTAAATATGTATACACACGTCTTTGGTAGGAATTGCTGCCGATATCTCAACCAGCGAAGGTGCGGCTAAGGCCATAGAAGAAGTGGCTACGTTTGGCGAGATCGATTTCCTAGTCAACAATGTCGGCATCTTCGAGGTGAAAGACTTTGAGGACATCACGGACGACGATTGGGAGAAGTACTTCCAGGTTAATATTATGTCGTGCGTGCTCCTGTGCAGACACTACCTGCCAAAGATGCTGGCCCGGAATTCGGGGCGGATTATTGTGCTTGCGAGTGAGAGTGGGTTCAAGCCTCTGGGCACCATGATCCACTACTCGATGACCAAGGGTAGTCTGATCAATCTCGCGCGTGGTATGGCTGAGACCACAAAGGGTACCAAAGTGACGGTGAATAGTGTACTCCCGGGACTCACAGCCACTGAAGGTCTAACCAATTACTTTGAAAGCATCGCAAAGAAGGACAACGAACCTGTAGACAAAGTGATTAGGGACTACTTCCAGAAAGAAGAACCAGCAAGGTATGGTCCGGGTGGACACGTGCTCGAGTGTGTAAAGTACTATGTCATCAATTTATGCAATCATTTATGCATCTTCTTCATGTAATGCATTTCAAAGCCCGCCATCGCTCTAATTTATACACTTGTCTACTCGTTTTGACATCCGCTTGTGAGAGTGTCGACGTTTTAGGCAGTATTGATTTAGTTTTTGCACACACTCATGTTCCTATATATCTTATTTGTTGCTTGCTTTCCTACCAGTTTGATCCAACGATTGGTGACTACCAAGGAGGTTGGGCCAACCACCGCATTTCTGCACTCACCATTGGCTGGAGCCATCAATGGAAGTTCACAGAGGTGCGAGGGAGGAGTCTACCGCAGTACATGAACGAGATATGTCAAGTGTAATCTGTGACGATAAGAAGAGATAAAATCGACGATTAAATCTCAGAATGTATATTGGGTAAATTTGTATTGACTTCTTGTCTGTCAAAAAAAGAGCGGGGGAAACTTGCAAACAACCTCGTCAGTGTGACTAAATTCTAGACAGGGAGAAGCAAGAAGAAAGAGCAGCTACGTGGTATATATTTTATTTTATCCTAATGTTGATATTTTGTGGCCGAACGTGGAATGGTTATTAATTAGTGGTTTGCGATTTAGACCTTTATCTGACTAGCATGCCCGCCGAAGTTTACGGAGGAGTTGAAGCCCATATTCGACTGCTGGCTCAGGATAGCCTCCTCCTTTTGCCTGGCAGCTTTTCTCCTGCGCATAATCACCACACCAACCACCAGACAGCAACAACAGCAACACAGTAGTAGTAGGATAAGAATTCCACCTACAATTAGTATCGTATCCCCCTGTTCCTCTTGCTGTGCAGCGGTGGCTCCTGCGGCGACACTGGCACCAACAGCGGCAGCTTGAGCTAGATCTTCGGCCGTATAACGTACACCAGCCTCTTTATCCACAGCGACCTCACCGGCATCACGAGTGGACATGCCATCTAGAGCACGACGGCGACGTGCGGATCCATCATCATAATCCACGAGAACGGTGTAGTTCATGGTAATGGCATTTCCGGTACGGTCTGAGGTGGCACAAGCCATTTGAGCGGTGACTTGCAAGGGAATAGAGATGGTCTGACCTATTGGCTCGTAAGTTTGAGTGAACTCTCCTTCTTCAAGCGCCGCAATTTCACCAAGATAATCATCGAATCCAGAGCAGTCACCGTCGGTGGTTCGCTCCGCATATGTGACTTCTGCGTTGTATAGAGCCACGCCACTGGCAGATGTATCTGCTGTGATTTGCCAGTATGACATGCTACCCAGATCGAAGGTATCCTGCTCCACAACATATGCGTCAGAATCGTATACCTTGATGGACAAGTCAAACAGAGCATCTAGCTCAAACTCTTCAATTTCGCAGAAGTTGTTCGTGTCAATGAAGAAAATAACGGTTGCAGGCTCTTCAGCATCCATATTAGGACAAACACCAGGGTCACCGTTATTATCTTCAGCTTGGCAGCCGATAGTAAGCTCATTTAGCGAGTACTCACCAGTCAGATCACAAGCGACAATATCGAACTCAACATTCTGGATGCAATCATCTCCTATAGCCTGTCCAACACACGCCGGTTCAACCGAGTAAGAAGACAGTGCACTCACTTCGGCCTCAAAACTCTCCTCATTTCTACCGACGACACCCATCGCGTTTGTAACAGTGTACGGGGCGGGCAAATGGATTTCAAGACGAATTTTAGAGTGATTCCAGCTGTCATAGTATCCTACATCAACCAAATTGATAGCGGCTTCAATCTCAACGGATTTGTACTTCGCATTAATGGTGGCAGCGACGTTACGAACGGTGTCGATTTGTACCAACAAATTGGTAACAGCATTGCCCTCGCGAGTGACAGGCAACCGCAACTCTTTCTCATCATCAACTTTCTCTACAAATTCGTCCCACTGCGCTTCAACCTGAGCCCGGTATGATGTGAAAGTGGCGAAATTCTCGATAGTAGTTCCACAACCATCTGTTCCACCCAGCTTGTCGAAATCAACACTGAAATCTAACTGAGCTCGACAATTACCTAGAAGCTTGTATACACCACCAGACATCTTGGTTGGGTGGTCCACAGCATAATGGCATTCGGCGAAATAGAAGTCATTTAATTTCCGCTCATTATGCCACACGCCGACGTCTGTCTTCAAGTTGACCTTATTGCTTGCGACGGTAGCGCCCGTAATGTCAATACTAAAGTTCGCCTGTAGAGCATAGGGCTCTGCCAAATCGCACGAGTCTCCTGTAGCAGTGGCGATGCTAAGCCCATCGAGAGTAGAACTATATCCCGCCATATTTCCGAACGCGAACACTATCGAAGAGAGATCGGCCACCTGGAAAATCGTGCCAGGTTCGGCCGTCACATTTAGCTTCTTGTCTAGGATAATGGGCTCAGTGAGGGCATATGGACCAGCAGTCAAAATGATCGTATCGCCATCTTGAGCTGATGCAAACGCTCCTACGTAGTTTGTAGCGTCGGCAGAAATGACCGCACCGTGTGCCGCAAGTGCCAACGAGGCGAAAACAGCTGATACATATTTCATGTTGTAAGCGCGTACTTCCTTTGTACGCTGCAACCTACAATGCGCGAGAATGTTTTGCGAGTCGTATAATATTGAACTAGATATTGAAATATTACATCCATGTAAATTATAGCATATATTTATATCCGAAAGTCGAGTCAAAGAACGTAAAAGTCGTTTTTATCTGTTTTTTTTATATGTTTTTTGATAAAATAATTTTTTTATACATATGCCCAGAAAGTCCGCTCACTCTGACTCTGTTGGTACACGTTACATAGCAAAAAAAATTAGAACCGGCTAATAACTCTGGGGGTGAGAGGGTACCTGAGCTGTCCTGAGGCCTCAGGCTCTGAGTGTGGGCAGAGGCGCGGCTGGCGGAGCCGCAGCGGCTGCTCAGCCCTCAGGGCTCAGGCTATGTTGACCTCAATATCTTTTCAATTGGCAGTTGAGAGTATACATTTATTTGACGTAAACGTCTTAAAGTGTTGAAATTTAAACGTTATAATTTACAACTGAAAAGTTGGGTAAGGTTCTGACTTACTATGAACAACATTACGACTATATGATCGAATTGATATAATATATTGACCTCAGAATCCAAGTATTTCACCTCAAATCCAAGGTAACCGTTGAAAGTAAACAAAATATCGATATACGTATAAATACAGCGTATTGGAGGATTGAGGATTAGTGAATGGTTTTATCAATTTACCGTATGTTTGATTTTTTTTATAGAAAATGTATTATAATAAAACATTTGGCATTCCGCAATTTTTATATACACCAGGTATTTACTATTTTTTTAACTGATTCCAGTCGCGTTTTTGTTCTATTTCAGTCTTTTCAGAATCAGAAGGCTATGCAGATTGTAGGCCTGGTATGGCGTTCAATTTAGTATATAAAAACAAATCAGGCATAACATTCCACGGTATGGCGCTTGAGTCATGACTGACTAAACTCTAATGTCTATGTAATGTACCTTGAATTTATTTAAAAACAATAACAGACCATAATTTTTATTTATGTAAAAAAGTCCGCAAGCCGCCCTGCCCAGCCCCGCCCATAAGTGCATTTGTTTCAGAAACAAATACAAATAAAGTATAGCCCCGTTCTACAGTAATCTACATTGCTCTTTTGACTCTATTCCAATAAAAATGCACATCTTGTCAACTGCACATGAGAATAGAATATCTCAGAGACCAGAGATGCCAGAGTACTCAAACTAGTCGAACAGTCCAAGAGTCGAAGAGGCGAAGAAATTTGAATTTGAAACAGTAATCATAATCCAAAAGTTTCAATTGGATGACAAAGAAAATAGATTTTAAAATTGCCCAACTGTCACTTTGTAAAATATTCAGTTTGTATGTAGCACATCTACAAAATTGAC